GTGGGCTTTGTGGCTGGGGACGAGCCGAAGCAGCGGCAGACGGGAGACAGCGGGCCGAAGCGTCAGACGCAGGTGAGCCAGGTTCCGGCCAGGGAACGCGGCCGTTCACGCTGCTGCCGTCCAACCACTAGCTGGGGCGGCATTGCCGGCACGAGTACTGCATCTCGGGGCTCGGCCTGGCCTGCTGTTCTCTTCCTTGCCGAGGGCATCACGGATCTCGGCGAGGCGTCTCCACGGTCAGCCGTTCGACACAGCGATGAACGTGGCCTGGCTAATGGTCACGGTTGCGTCGAGCATCGCGTCTCGGCACACGCTCTTCGCTGGACGGGCTGGCCATGCCCCGCATGGAGCATCGCGTCTCCGATGCGGGTTGACTGCTCCGTGGCCGCACCCATGCCATTAAGCGCCGGTGTCACCAGAGCGTCGCACTTCGGCAAGGGACGAGCGAGATGTTCTGCCGGGCGAGATGTGGGCGTGTGTACGGAGGACCATGGAGCCGGGCGAGGATTCAGGGTGGCCGAGGATTCAGATGCCAGGGGAGTTGCTGGCTGAATCGAGGATCGCCGAGCGGAGCCGAGCCGTACCGAGCGACGCGCCAGACTCGGACGCGGGCCGCGAGCTCATGAGCTGCAGTGTGCACCCGAGGGTACCTGGCGGTGCCCTGGCCAAGAAGAAGGAACGTGCGGAAAGAGAGCTCGAAGTTTGAGGCCACGAAGGCAGAGGAAGCGGTGCGCCGCTCGAGAGCACGAGTTCCTGGCAGCGTTCCGGAGCCGGACGTGGGACCCGTACGTGTCGGCCAGGTCGAGCTCCGGTGTGTCTGTTCGAGGTCGAGTCCGTCGGCCTGTACAAGGTCCAAGGACGGGGCCTGCTGAACGGCTCCTGCCTGGGTGCAGTGGCCGGGAGCAGGTTCGTGGGCGAGACCTACCGGGTGTGGTCCTCGTGAGCCGTGGCCTGATCCTGGACCTCCGGAGTTGCGACCCTGACTGCTGGGGTGGCCACGACGTCCGACTCAACGGCGCTGCACACGGTAGCGTATCCGTGCGCCGTCAGCCGTTCCACCCATGCCATGAAATAAAAAGTTCATGTTAATCCTTTCTCGTCCGCTATCAACAAACATAGTGACGAACGTTCCTTAACCATCACACCAGGAAAGCGTAACGTATTTTTTTTATTTCTATGAGCACTACAACAATGTTAATGAATAAATTAGGATACAAATTTATGTAAGAAAGATCTTGGAGAGAGAGAACGGGAGATTTGATTGATTGATTGATTGATTGATATGTAGGGTTTAACGTCCCAAAACCACCATATGATTATGAGAGACGTCATAGTGGTGGGCTACGGAAATTTCGACCACCTGGGGTTCCTTAACGTGCACCCAAATCTGAGCACCCGGGCCTAGAACATTTCCGCCTCCGTCGGAAATGCAGCCGCCGCTGCCGGGATTCAAACCCACGACCTGCGGGTCAGTAGCCGAGAGAGAAAACGGGAGAAAAATCAAGAAAGGGAAATTCTGAGATTTTTAGAAGACCAGACAGTGGCATTTTTTTAACCCAACCATTCATAATGTATGTGTTAAAACACATATCAAAATTAAACAGTATTTATTAGACTAGAGCTTTACAGTGGGATACGTTTGGGTGCCTGAAAAAAATTGAAAACTGAATCGATTACGTCCCTGAAGCAATGTACCAAAATAGAGGCACCAAAGCTAAGCACAGTGTCTACCATCAACCTACTACCTATCTCCAAGAATGAAATAATGAGGAATTTTTTTCCAAAAACAGAGTAGTGGTGACGCGATAAAAACTAATGTTCAATGGTGTCTATGTCTTCGCAGAATGCAAAGAGGGGTGACACCAACTGACCAGCTTTCTGTAGATATAGATTCTATGGGGGGACACGGCATCGAAATCAAGTAATCAAAACTGCGAGTTTTCGGGAGTGACTCCACTGAGGTCGCCATGGAGACTTTAAGTGGTTAAATTGTTACGAGAAGGAGACTGACTCAGAAGAGTAGACGCACGCACCACTGGGTAGTAATATTATGTCATGTAAATATATTTTCTGTCATATCTGTGCGAACTGCTGATTTTCTATATCCGATCGCAGTTCTATATTCTACTATGTCTTGTAGCGCCACGCTATAGTTCTGGCCCGCTGGTCGCGCAGAAAAAAAAGCGAGCCGCGTGGTACATGATGCGCAAGCCACAAGGAATTTAGAACGGCCTAGCTTCTGGACCTGGCTGGACGTTGTAGGCGATAACGCTTCGCTATGGGCTCGCCCACATTAAAGCTGCGACAACGGCACATCGTCATCACCGCCTTCTCCTCTATCGTCCCTACACAATCTGTTTACTGAGATTCATTCATTCATTTGTGGGGTTTAACGTCCCAAAACCACCATATGATTATGAGAGACGCCGTAGTGGAGGGCTCCGGAAATTTTGACCACCTGGGGTTCTTTAACGTGCACCCAAATCTGATTGATTGATTGATATGTGGGGTTTAACGTCCCAAAACCACCATATGATTATGAGAGACGCCGTAGTGGAGGGCTCCGGAAATTTCGACCACCTGGGGTTCTTTAACGTGCACCCAAATCTGAGTACACGGGCCTACAACATGACACCCAAATCTGAGCACACAGGCCTACAACATTTCCGCCTCCATCCCGATGTGAGCTTAACGTGCATGTTCGCATTCGTTGTCCATCCCCCGTTTTCATGAATAAAAAAATTTGAACTGTATTGACCCCATCTTTTGTATATTTGTCTTTTTTTAGTCTTTGTTTTGCGAATTTTGAATATGGCGAAGCACGCGAGCCCGTGTGGTCAGCGCTCACATCTGCTCCTTCTTGCAACCTGCAAAGCAATATCACGTGTTGAATTGAGCTCGGTTATCGTTTCAAGTATGAATACGGTAAAGAGAAGACATTTCATATGGCGTGCAGCTAACGGAAGCCGCAGAAGGCCTGGTTGATCAGGCCAACAATTCTTTAGACGAAAATGGCTGAACCGGGGCATCTTATGTATCGCGCGACTTTGTGGTGTGTTAACCCCGATATTTTCAGTTCTGCGAAGGCTTTCAAGGTTTCAGATAGATATGTGGGGTTTAACGTCCCAAAACCACTATTTGATTATGAGAGACGCCGTAGTGGAGGGCTCCGGAAATTTCAAGGTTTCATAAAGACAGTGGGTAAGCACAAGTATTTGGATTTGTGATTTGAGCAGGTATTACATTTGCATGAGTGCACGCATTAGTAAACCCAGTTCTCTGTAAGCCTGACGACTGACATGACCACAATGAAGACTAATTTGCGATAACGAGAGCCTACGTGCTGCTAAATATATATGTTTTATAAGAAGGTTCGAATGCGTGTTGACTCGGCTACAGAGTTTCTTGGTCCTTCATTTTTGGCGTACAGCTATATATAGTTCAAACGACTGTAAGGAGTTATAGGCTCCTTCCTGTTTGTGGAAATGCATATAGCCACATTGAAGAATACCCACTTTCAAAAATAACGGGCCTTGGCTTCTAATGTTGTCACTGAAATACAAGTAATGCACACGCTGATGCTCTGAAAAGTCATTGAACAGAGAATTTTACGTAGTACGTAACATGTAGTACGTAGTACGTAACAGTAGTACGTAACATGTCTTACGCTTTGACCTCCAAGGGGGTGCCGGTGGGATATTTCTCCTGTGCGTTGTTGAACAATAAAAAAGTCGCAGCGTTCGCGTTAACTGAAAGCCGAATTCTTCTGTCTCTCATTCCCCATTAGCAGCCATTGGCATGTACATTGAGCAGTATCTGACAAGAAAAGGTTGCTACGTTATACTTGCTGGACGTAACCTCCTTTGTTTCAGAAAGTTTTAGCGAGCGTCGGGCCGCAGTGCCATGAATACAGTGAACTAGTATATACCATGAACTCGAGGTGGTTAAAGGTGGGAAGTAGACACGAAGCGCCAGCCGTAAGAAAGTGTGCGTGTGCCACCTCTCGTTTAGTCCTTGGAATGTCTGCCGGATGGCGGTGCTTCTATATGCGGAATATATAATGAAAAGATGCGAGATTGTTGTAGTTGGAGTGTTGACTAGATGGACGAATGGACACACAGACAGATGCATTGACGGACGCACGGATGGCTGCACGAACGGAAGGACGCATGGGCGGACGCAGGGTGGATGCATGGACGAGCGCATGGACGTACGCATGGATGGACGTGCGGACGCACGTACAGACGCACGCACGCACGGACGGGCGGATGGACGCATGGGTGGACGCATGGATGGACGCACGGACGGACGGAAGCAAGAACGAATACACGGACAGATGCTTCGCTCCACTCTCCATCATCCACCCCGTGTATATGTGCCATTTTTTTTCCTGAGCTGCTGTTTCGCGATTTCATCCGGGTCTGGCAGCCAGGCTCGCTAGAACAAGAGCCTCCTGGGTCAAAAGGCGTGCGGAGACCTTATCGCGATGTTTCCGCCAGGGCGTATGCGATGTCGTTTAGACGTGGGGCCTTCAGAAAGGCGCATTACGATGGTGCGTCCGAAGCACTAGGACAACGCTTCTCAAGCACCACACCCACAAAAAAAGTAACAGAAATCTCGGGCTCGTCCGGGATTTGAACCCGGGATCTCTCGCACCCGAAGCGAGAATCGTACCCCTAGACCAACGAGCCACTTTTTTTTTCATGGTATTTATTAAAGTACTAGGGCAATAAAGACAAAATCAAGCGAACAAAAGTACAATCAAATCGTGAAAGTAAGCGTTCAAGCGTGACTCATAAACACTAAATGCCTAACACAGCGCCAGTTCCTCACATGGAGATTTCTTCACATGGTGTTATACAAACAAAAAAGGGGTGAGGTCAAAGAGTTCTCTAAGACGGAGTACCAGTCATGTCTAAAGTCTAGCTCGTCGTAAATGTTTTTAGGTGGATAGCCATTTGAATGAAGTGTGCGCTTGAGGAGGTGGTGGGCTCTGCATTGCGGTCTTGCATTCGTGTCCTCCACAAGCTGTGCAAACCCATGAGGAAAAACATATCATATGGTACTTCATCAAGCGTTGCTGGTAGAAGATAACGTATTGTGTGAGAATTAATGACGAAACATTTTTTCAGTGCTCGCTGAAGGACATCCCAAAAGAGTATGGCATCTTTGCAACTAACAAAGCAACGTTCAATCGTTTGCGGTACATCACATAGACAGCAGTTAACAGACGGAATGAAAATACCTTTTCCTTCTAACCATGTGTTTACCGCCAATGTTTCAGAGTGGAGTTTATAGAAGAATGTTTTTGAATTCGGTGGAATGTACATTTTGCGCACTCGCTTCAACACATCGGGACCTGGAAGATTGGAGTACAGTGAACGGTACAATGGAGGTGGGAAGAGTGTACGCAGTAGGTCCTTATACAGCACCTTGCGCGATACTGTGTACAGGTGTTCTACAGAAAAGCGAGCTTTAAGGAATTGAACTGCGAGGCAAACTTCCTGCATGAATCCCCACAAGCATGGGCGTTCGGAGAAGCTGGATGAAACAATTAAATCTGGTAAGCAATCAACAAGTGTAACCTGCAAGAAGGAACGGATTACAGCATGGGAATTGTCTCGAAAAAAGAAGAATCGGGACACTATTTGCCATAGATAAAGGTGTTTTAGTCCTAACCCACCCTTCCTAGCTGGCCTAAATATATTATCACGACTCATGGGCTCAAAAGTCGAAGACCATATGAAAGTAGCGAAAATCCGATGAACGCGTTGTATATAGAATCTTGCGCAATGAATAAGTTGCAATACATAGTAAAGCTTTGTCGCTAAGAAAGTATTGCAAGCTTCAGCTCTCCCAAATATCGAAAGACGATTGGTAACAAATGTCTGGGCCTGTCGTTCAAACTTAGGGACGCGTTCCTTCCAGTAATGCGCACTGAATCTATATGCATGCAATGGTACACCGAGGTATGTTGGAGGAGTTCTTGTCCAATTAATCCCTGCAAAGTGGTTCGGTGTGCTACCCCACAAGCCAAACCACAGTCCTAAACTTTTAGAGGCATTTAAACGAGCTCCTGATACTACGCCAAACATTTCAATAGTATATACCACATTTTCGACACTTGGTTTATCTGTGCAAAAGAATGCGACATCGTCTGCATAAGCCAATACTTTAACCTCACTGCCTAATATTCTAAAGCCACGAATGCAACTCGACTGTATTATGCTTAAGCACAGTGGTTCTAGATAAAGTGCAAATAAAAAAGGTGACATCGGGCATCCCTGTTTTACAGAAGAGCGAACTGTCATGGTTCTCAAAAACATCTTGCAATGCTACAGGTAGACCTTGCAAAAGCTTTTGATCGTGTTCGTCATTCCTTCCTTTTTTTTCTTCTCGAACAAGCTAATGTTGGCAAAGTTGTTCTTAAAGGCGTTAAATTATGCTATAATGAATGCTCAACTCGTCTGATAGTTAATGGTCAAATCTCCAAGCCAGTTTAGACGAACGAGCCACTGTGCTTTCGTTGCTCGCTACAGCTAAGTAAATACTGCGTTTTGAGAACACAAAGATGGCACTATAGAAATATCTAGGTCGCCATTCCTTATTAAAACCAACGAAACACGCTTACAAATTTGAAATAATGACAGATGTGTCGTTTCCCTTTACAACTGCTTTAAGTTGTGTTTCTAGTCACTTCTATTTTCCTTTGTTTCATAATTACTACACTTACATTCAAGACAGTAGATAGCACTCTTGCGTTTATCTTGGATTTATGACCCGGCTGTAGCGAGATACGTGCATACGGGAGACGAGTTATTGCCGTTGGTACGTTATATGAGAGTCGAGAGCCCGAAACGACGTGGTGGTTGCCCCGTCGCGGTGGTCTAGTGGCCAAAGTACTCGGCCGCTGACCCGCAGGTCGTGGGATCGAATCCCGGCTGCATTTACAATGGAGGCAGAAATGCCGTAGGCCCGTGTGCACAGATTTTAATGCAAGCTAAAGAACCCCCGGTGGTCGAAATTTCCGGAGCCCTCCACTACGGCATTTCTCATAATCATAAGGTGTTTTTGGGACGTTAAATCCCACATATCAATCATATATACCAGCATTAGGATATACCCGAGATCGGTAGCATTGACCCGACGAATGCAGAGGATAATGTTCAGGGTCCCAGCTTGAATTGTACCTAATCATTCTGCGTGGCACTGAAGCATTTTACCACAGAGCTACGGCAGGTCTCAGAATTGCTTTTCAAATGAAGTTAATCTTCGTGAAACGTCAGTAGTAGTTTCAGTGCGGCCTACCCAATTTCATAAACCTTAAATATTTACTCCTTCGATACAGCCGTCAGGTCTGGTTAACGTCAATTGTGGTTAGTCGACATGCGCTGGAGTCGATTTATGCAGGTAGTGTGCAGGGCCAGCATCGTCGTGAGCATAAGCGCTTCGTATCAGCTTCAGATGTTGCCAATACGCATGTTCTACTTGAAATCATTGCGCAAGTGTAAACAACTGGTTATATAAACATCAACTCTTCAACTGATGCCTGTGCGTACAACATTCGTACCTATATTCAGCGTCATTTCATGACGTGTCACTCAATAAAAAAATTGCCACATGGTCACCTTCCCTCCGCATGCTTCGCATAATGTCGATTCCCAGGTACGTGGGAACTGCCGAATTGTTTTGCTTTTCAGCTTCTTAAACTTACACCGAATGTTTTATATTTTCATGTAGATCACTTTAGGCCGGTACGGCTCACAAGGTGTCCTGTATGAAGGACTCTATCTAGAGTCGAGAATTTCCAACGAGAAGAGGCTTCCTGCCCAAATAATTTCTATTCCTATATTAGCCACTTTTTTCCGCCTCTGAGGGTGCAAAGCCTGACAACTAACGGTATTCGTGAGTGCAGCTTGTGCATAAGTTATTAGCGACGAAAAAAGTGGCTATAATAAAACCTTCAGTGAACTCGAAAATGAGCCGCATGTTTTCTATTTCTTTTTTTTCGCACTAGCGACGATACGCGTAGGGAAATAAGCGCTTATTCTGATTGCCTAACGAGGCAGATGTCACTTACGTGGGAGTCGGTAAACGTCGCATAGCTAACGCAAGTTATGACTTCTCTATTTAAATGTTCACTGATTTACACCAACACATGTTGGTATACCAGTAAGTAAAACAGATAATGCACATGGATGTAACGAAATAAAAAAGATAGCTGTATTTACATTGGAGAAATGAAAATAATTGAGTTCAAGTGAATTGCCACACAAGACTTGCAGTGCCATGAAGAGCTGCTTAGAACTTTACACCCCCGGAGTAACCTGTAGCGCCACGCTAGATTTTGCTAAGTGGCCGGGCCGAAAAAGAAGCGAGCCACGTGGCTCGGGTGGTGCGAGCCACGAGGTATTTCAGAACGGCTTAGCTCCTGGCCTGGCTGGACGCTGCAGCGGCGACTCCGCCTACGCCTGCGTCTCAAATAAAGCTGTGACCTCGGCACGGGCTCGTCCCCACCGTCTCGCCTCTCCTTCCTCGACAAACCAGCTTCGACCTTCACATGTCCTTTGTTTTCTTCAGATTCCATATGAGACAACATCATTTCTACTATCGCGTTGAAGGTCTTGAGAGAAAAGCCTCCTAGGAAACGGCGCAGCAGTCCATATGGATGCTGAGGTCCCGTTCGGTGTATTCAGGCTTCCTTGTTTTTACCATCCTCACCAGTCTCGAGATGTGATCTTCAGCCTTGCTTTTTGCAGCTGGTGCGCTTTGGCTGGACTGCCTCGACTCGACGTCCCGGCGTGCAGTGGGCTTTTCATTCCCAGTTCGTCCATGGCACACTGACACTGAATGCCGCTCTGTTGACTTCGTCAACCTCTTGTAAATCGAAGGAATGCGCCATGGTTTCGGGCTGATGGGAATCGCACTGTTTTTCCTGTTCCTTCGGTCGAGATATGTGTGATTCCCGATGCGATGGAAACAATGGCTGGGGTGTTGACCCGATGGGCTGTGCTCGTGGCTTCCCTTCGGTCGTGTGCGGAAGTTATAGTGGTGTTGGCGCCGTTGGTGCTGGCCAAGGGCTCTGTTCGATAGGAAACGTACGGATGTTCTCCTGGGTCTTTTGTCGAAATTTCGATGGTGACCGTCGATGTGGTTGGGGCTTTCACAGACTTTTTTGATGAGTGGGAGTGGAAAATGGCCGCTCTTCAGCGTTGGGTCGAAGTGCTGGTGATCCTCGATGCAACGCATGCACTGGGAGGAATATGGATGCAATGGAAAGCGCACCTTAACTTTTCTCTGCCTTGCGTCGAGATGCGGGCGATTTCTGATGGCAAGAGGACAATGGCTCGGTTTTTAACGCAATGGGCGGTCCCCGTGGCTTCTCTCCGGCCATGGGAGGAAGCGGATGTAGCCTTCGACGCAGCGTAGGCACTGACTGCGGCCTTGTTATAATAGGAAACTCCCGAAACTTTTTCAGTGTTTTTTGTCGAGACTCTGGCGGTGATCGTGGACGTGGTTGGGGGTTTAGCCGAGTGTTTTGACCAATGGGAATTGAACATGGTCTCTCTTCAGCCTTGGATTGTGTGTATCGACGCCACCCATAGACTGGCTGGGGAGTTGCTTGAGTTGGTCGGGCACGATTCTTCTCGGTCTTGGGTGGAAGTGGAGGATGTCTCCGACGTGGCATGAACCTGGGCCGAGGCCTGAGACCATAAGAAAAATTATGTTTCTTCTCGAGAATTTTTCGATGACGTGGTGCTGATCTGCTACGTAACAGGGTTAAAAGCGATGGTTTATGGCGAACTGGAGGCACGTGTGGCTTCTGCTCGCTTTTGGGCTGATGTGGTGGTGACGGATTGGAAAATGGCCGTGGTTTTGGCTATCGCGAACTTGCCTGTGCTCCTGGATTATGCGTACTTCGGCTTTGCCGATCCTTCTTAGATGTGCTCACAATATTACCTTTTGCGGTGGTACGTGGTGACACTAGATCTGGTGGCGGTAAGGTTCGTTCGACCGTGCGGATCTTCTCGTAAATCTGCTGCGTTTTATGGGCTTGACTTTCTGGAATGGCGTTGGGCCTGTGCTTGATCTGCGCAATTTTTACATCGCGCTTCTGCAGATCAGACTTCAACTCGGTGAATCTAGCAGGCTGGCATCTTTGTATCGGCACCTTGGCATCGCATGTTTGCTGCATGACCTGCAGCGCCCGTGAATGGGGCAGGCGCAGCGATGGAATCTGGCTTGAGGCATTCTTTGTTCTGCACGGAGCCGGTTCATTGCCTCCACCACCTCTGGCTGACACACACACTGCTGTCCGATGAAAGTACACTCTTTCCTTGACGCACGCCATCACCAGCTATCGCGTCCTGAAGAATGCCGTCGTTAAGAAACTCGATAAAAGTTTCAGCCAGAAGGTCGTCTTTGTCGTAAGTGCAGTTGTAGTACACGAACGTGTACAAATCTTCATAGATGTCTTCAAGTTGTGCGGAGCGGTTCCAAAACACTGTGATCGTGCCATGCATGCCAAGAATCATCTGAACTTGGGAAATACTAACGGCTTTCTGCAGGTCATGCTCTTCTGAAGGACCATTCTCCCACAAAAAATCTCGTAGCTGTGCCTTGATGTCTACCACACCTTGCTTGGTGAGCTTCGGCTTTCGAGTCTCGTAATCGAAGACTTCGTGTGCTTTAAACTCCTCTTCTCCTTCAGCTGACTTCGACGAGCTGATGTTGAATTTACCTGCACCCAGTCGCTTGCACTTGCTCTTTGACATCGTCCGCGATGTTGAGGTGTTCTTATTTTTTGAGTTGCACTTGAAATCAAGTCCTTGACTTGCGTTCCGAACCTCGGTAGATTGTCGCTTACCGTGGTGAGATTCCTGTTGCATCCGGAAACGAACGAGAGGCCCTGGCAGCTTGGTGTCTATGTTGGAAGGCTTGTTTTCGGGCCTCTACTGGTCGATTCAAAGCCGAAAGAGTGTTTCGGCTTCTTTTCGTCCACTTCTTGTGCTTGGGAATTATTAATGGTTGAAATGACCTGAATGTGGTCGGGTTCCGATGAACTAGGTGAGCTTCCTGGAGCGATGGTTCTAGCAGCTGGCTTCTGACCGTAGACGAAGCGAAGATAGCAGCACGAGCGTCGCGAGCAGTTGGAGAAAAGATTTGATTCCTTTAATAAATGGTTCATACCCACTGCGGTGTATTTGCCAAAAAAGCGTAGCGTATTTGTTTTATTTCTATGAGAACTACAACAATGTTAATGAATAATTTAATATGTAAATAATGTACGAGAAACCATAGAGAGAGACACACAGAGAGAGAGAGAGAGAAGGGAGAAGAAACAGAAAGTGAAGTGTGGCAGCTTGGGCTAGTTGGTATGGCATGACGATAGCTATAGTGCGAAAACCAAACGACAAACCAGAGACAAGAAGGACACGAAGGACACGAGCGCTGACTTGCAACTGAGTTTATTGCGCAGGTCACGAAAATATATAGAGGAGACAGTTACCATGTGACAAAAACCATATGGCACAAAGAGCAAAACATGAGTAACAGAAAAACAAAAACAAAAAAGAAAATCACTGAAAAAGGCAAAGAAAAGTCTATAAGGAAACGAAACAGAGAAGTAAAGATAATATAACTACTTATGCGCACCGCAACCTTCGAGGAACCTTAGTTCCTTCTCGGTCAGAGACACGGAGGGTTTGCTAATGCAGGACACTTGTTCGCGTGCCATCTGCGCGACCTCGACAATGACTGGGGTGCGCACATTTTTGTGCCTTACAGCGTCGCTGTGTCCTTGAAAAGGGGCACACAGTTGCACTCAGTGTACTGCTGAAAAACAAAACCATCTTTCCCGTTTCTAACATTGTTAGCATGTTTTCTCGGTCGATCTTTCAGACATCTTCCGGTCGTTCTGACATAACGAGCACCGCATGCAAGGGGTGTCCTATAGACAACTTCCCGGGAGCATGCCGCATAGCTGTTTCTATGTTGAACTCTGCCTTCTCTGATAACTGCGCTTTCAGGGGCTTTGTAAATTTGGTGAGGCTGATTATTTTTAACGGTGCCGAGAACAGGACACGAACTCCTACTCGTTTTTTTATTTTCTTGAGCCTGTGTGATATCTGGTGTTTCTATGGAATCACGGCTATCCTTTCACGCTCTGTATCCGTGTTGATCAGATTCTATCGCTGCCTCTGCTCTGGCTTATTATTACGCATGATAGTCTCAGCAACGGAAACGATAAACACCTCGGGGAAACCCAAAATCTTAAGCCGGGAAACTTGAGCTTTGAAGTTCACAAATATATTGTGGGCACACGACCTAATTAATGAATTCTAAAGACAGGTTCGTGCTATGCCTCGCTTAACTAACTTGCTGTGAGCGGAAGAAAAAGGAAGTAAACGTTTCTGCGCACGTGGTTCATAACACCAACAGATGTGCTGTGAGCTAAAAAAACAGTCTTAAATCCAAAAAGCGACACATGAAATGCCCGAGAATGGCAAGTTACGCTTTTTGGATTTAAGACAGCATGGCGCCTACTGACGACGGTCGTAACAATATAAAGTCTTAAATCCGTCTACAGGAGACAGTTGTAGTTCACTCTGGCGTTGTACTGAAGCATATATCTAGTAAAGTAGCCTATATGCTACCGTCAAAAGTACGTCGGCTGTGCTGCCTCGTACCTGCAGAATGGCTCACTATAACGCTAAGTTTGAGTGGAATTATTATAAAATCTAATGGCCTGGAGCATAAAACTGCCTTTGTACGCATGAGACCCAAACACTTGCATGTGTAGTGAAACAGTGATCAGTGATGAAGCCAAGAGATGCATGTTGAGTATGGTGGGCTATGCCTCCCCATACCCCAAGCCTTCAGTCTTTAGTCTTAATTCTTAATTCAGCAGCCACGCCCGGCAACTCTCAGCCACGATGTCGGGCACATGCGCTCTCATCATTCCTTTCCTTACATACCTCCTATGTCGAAATCCTGGCGGCTGTTCAAGAAAGAAGGCATGTCACAACCTGCCTATTTTAGTCATAAAAAACGCACCTATATTTTCACCTATACGTAGTTCCTGTAACTAGCGCACTGTAACGAAACGCATTTACTGAGGACACTATCAAACACGGGGAAATGGAAGTCCGAATTAGAAAACTACAACTGCGCAATAGCCAAATCCCTCTGCTAGCTGCAATATAATGGTTGGTAGGTGACAGAACGCACAAAAAGGAAAATTCGGGTTGCGATGACACCTGAAAACCCACGCACCGATTTCCGTGGTTTCATGAATTTTAACGCCGTCTACTGAAACTTACTCAGCTTCTCATTAGCAAAAATAAGCGGATTGTCATCCGAGGTTTCGGAAAATTTCGTGGAGCCAATATGGCCAGACTCCAAGAAAAAGGGGGGAAGGGGGTGTAAGCTTGGGAGTTTGAAATCTGTGACAACACCAGGGTTAATTCAGGCACGCCGTTTAAGAATGAAACCGGACTATCTCTCATAATAATGAACCTATAGCGAAGAAATGAGGGACAGTGCAGGTTTCAGATTGTCTGTCTAAAATAATACATTAATTCACGTTGAAATACCTTCATGATTTTTATTTATTAAACAGCTTAATGCGACGCGGGTGACGTCGCAATCATCTTACCTCAACTTAACGTGGTGGAGTGTGCATCGGTTTAAAAACTGGGCGAAACTAAAGTGAGAATGAGCACGTAATTAGGGTGGTGAGCGTGAGAGAGGTGACTCCAACAATGTGACAGTGAGGCCAACGCATTCAATTTGTGTTTACGAGTGGAGATGCGAAATCGGACGTGTCATGTGTTGGAAATCTGTAGTTTCAGAGCTAAGTGGCCGGAAGCATTATCCGTGTTACACATTGGACAAAAACTGGGAAAATAGTCATTCATAGGTACTTATAGGTATTTAGGCACCTACACCTAAAACAGGCATTTATAGGCACTATAGAAACACCCTAAAAGTCATTGTTAACCTCTAATTATTGCTCATATATCAAAATGGCACGATAGGCATGCAAAGAACAAAATAGGCATTTGCCTATAGCACGGTTTCTATTGATAGCGCAGCCCATAGAAGCTCCCGCCTGCTGTGGGGGCAAGAGGCACGCGCTAATTGTGGTCGCGATAGCGCGGCAACCTTAGGCCTCCCATCCTCGGCCAGGGGGCGCTGCGCCGCGTGCGTTTGGCCACTTTTCTGGTGAAAACCAGCCGCTCGGTACCCCGCTGTCGCCTTCTGCCTGCGCTGTCTCAGCACGTTCACGCGCTCTTCACGCGCTGTTATCTGGTCACCCTGAGTGCGGCGTCACCTCTGACTTGCCTCGAAGGTTTCAACAGATTCTAAAAAAACGTTTTCATGGTCTAAAAACGTTTTATGGCCAAAGACTTATTAGGCGGTACTACCGTGGACTGCACTTACAAACTGCTGCTTTTCTTTTCTTCTATGTTTTATTATTCTTTATCATCTATATTTCGTTATTTTGCAATTCTTTTTTATCCTGAAGTGACCTGTGTTTCTTGAAGTATTATCCAGTCCACAAACGCATTTCTCTCATCTGTGGAAGTTGCCTAAAACCATTCCAAAAGCTTGCCACACTAATAATTTTCATATTGATACAAGTAAGCTGTTCGCATTACGTGAATTCAAACGAGTCGTACGCGTATCTGCAAACACGATTTAGATACTGAGAGCGCATCGTTTATATGTAAGCAATATTGGTATTTTATAGCTGTCCGTATTTCAACAGCTCGGCTCGTTGGTCTAGGGGTATGATTTTCGCTTCGGGTGCGAGAGGTCCCGGGTTCAAATCCCGGACGAGCCCGATATACTTTTATTTACTGTCTTGCCTAGTATGAGCGATACTACTTTTTTCTTATTTGCCGCTTCGTAGCGAACATACAAAGCACCTCAGCAAACTTGCGCCTGGAACAAACAGACGCTTGGGTTGTCGGATTAGTGTGTTATTGCCCTGAACCGTATGAAGCACGCAAATGTAACGTGTTCATAGGTGTGCGCAGGATTCTCCTTGAGGAAGGGGGAGGTGAAAGTTCATCGCAGCGCCCCCTTTCTACCATGTGAATATATAGTTTCAGCGAGGAATATATGCGGCACACATTGCGCCACCCTCTCACCCCCTTGCACCCTCCTTTCTCACCGGTGTGCGCACCTATGCACGTGATCTAGACGTAGATGAAGAGAGAAGTGGGTGTGTTCAAGACTAAATCAGGCCCCGGCGTTACTTTGGGTTTCAAGGAACATCCACGCTCGTAGCGGTTGCTCGGCATCTTAAAGTCTTGTAGCGCCACGCTATAGTTCTGGCCAGCTGGCCGCGCAGAAAAAGAAGCGAGCCGCGTGGCACGTGATGCGCAAGTCACTAGGAATTTAGAACGACCTAGCTTCTGGACCTGGCTGGACGTTGTAGGCGTTACTGCTTCGCTATGGGCTCGCCCACATAAAAGCTGCGACAATGGCACAGCCTCATCACCACCGTCTTCTCTATCGTCCCTCAACGATCTGTTTGACCAAAGTGTGAATAACGCGCATGTTCGCATTTGTTGTCTATCCCCAGTTTTTATGAATCAACAAATTTGAACTCTACTGACCCCATCTTTTGTTTATATGAAGAAATGAAGTCTAACCCTTTCGTCTTTTTTGCGCAGATAAGAAAACGTTATGGGAAGTGCTATCGATCGAACGATTTGTGCCTACTTGTGCTGCCGTGCCCAAGGCTGCTATGTTTATTTTTGTA